TGTGTCATGTTCTGATTGGTTGTCTTAGTCATGTGTCTTGTTTCCCATTGGTTTGTTCATGTCATGTGACCCTCCTTGTCTGTTATAAGTAGCCATCTTGTTGCCATTGTCTCTGGTCGTGTATTGAAGTTGTAACCCGCTGTCGGTGAGTCTAGTTTGTTTATGCCACGTCAAGTCTGCTCATGCCTAGTCAAGTCTGTTCATGCCTAGTCAAGTCTGTTCATGCCTCGTCAAGTCAAGTCTGTGTCTCTAGTCTGTGTATCTTGTTTGGATTATGTTTGGAGTTTGGATCACCTGTAAATAAACTGCACTTGGGTTCTCACTACACTCGCCTTCAGTGGACTGATTCGTTACAATTATAAACACGGGCTTCATAGAAAGTGTTACCAACAACAGTAATATTGTGAATATGTTTACCATTTAAAATAAGGATTTTACTTTTTAAATACACTTTAAATATAATTTATTCCTGTGGAGAAAAGCTGTATTTTCAGCATCATTACTCCAGTCTTAAGTGTCACATGATCCTTCAGAAATCATTCTAATATGCTGATTTATTATCAATGTTGGAAACAGTTGTGTGTCACGCTACGCTGTTCAGAAAGAACACGAGAGGCACGAAGGAACTTTTAACAGTCTTTAATCAAAGAAACACTGGGAATAATCCACAACAGGCGCTTGAGCAACACACATCGACAACAAGTAGAACCGACAAATACTAACTGAACAGACTGGGGCTTATAAGGACTGGATAACGAGGGGCAGGCAAGTGCTGGGAATCAATTAATAATCAAACTAAACAAGGACAGGAACAAGACCAAATAAGGCAAAACAGGAACTCAAACACATGATAAAATAGGTCCAATCCTGACATTTCGCCCCCTCCCGGAAGGTGCGTCCTCGCACCGTAGGCAACAACAGAGGGAGGCATAGGTAGGAGTTTGAGAGGAGGCTCAGAAGGAGGGCGGACACACGGGAGGGGGCCGGCAGACAGAGACCAGGGTGGCGACGAAGGAGGGAGGAGCCAGGAGGGGCCCAGAGCAGGAGGAGCACAGCAGGCCTCAGGCCACAGCCATGATGACGGCCCACGGTGGAGCCGACGGAGGGAGGAGCCATGGAGGAGGAATGGCCGCCGACTCAAGGGGGCCTACCAATGGCGGCGGAGCAGGTGGAGGAGGAGCCCGAGGCGGAGATGGAGAGCCAATGAGCCAGGGGGATGCCGAGGATCCGGTGGGCCAGGGTGGAGCCGAGGGCCAAGGCGGAGGCGGAGATCCGGGCCTCGGAGGCTGGAGGCAGAGGTGAGGGATTCTCCAGCCACGGCAACGCTGGAGGATGGCAGACCCGCGGAGCTCACAACGTATTGATGGTGGGCTGAGGGCGAGCAGAGGGACTGCTTGACGACAGCGGTGGAGGAGGCAGGAGCGGGCGGGTGGGCAGGCATTCGTGAGCCTCCGGGCTCTCAGGGCTCTCAGGGCTGCCCTCAGGGATCAGAGCCCACTCCTGGCTGGACTGGGAAACGGGAGCCCCCTCAGGGCTGGATGGGACCAGCGGGGACGGAGGAGAGAGGAGAGGGGGCAAATCGCTTCCAGCTCAGTTTCCCAGTCAATAAGGTCCCCTTCTAAGTCCAGCAGGCCCAGATGTATTATTACCTCACCCTCAGCCGCGGTGCAGTGGGTGGAGCTCCACTCCGCGTTCTCACCATCCACGGCTTTCTCCCTCGCGATGGGCATTGTAGCCGGCTCACGCACCTGGTCTGACGGCTTGGGCTCTACTTCCGGGGCGATCCCCCGCTCAGTCGCACAAACTGAACAGACTGGGGCTTATAAGGACTGGATAACGAGGGGCAGGCAAGTGCTGGGAATCAATTAATAATCAAACTAAACAAGGACAGGAACAAGACCAAATAAGGCAAAACAGGAACTGAAACACATGATAAAATAGGTCCAATCCTGACATTTCGCCCCCTCCCGGAAGGTGCGTCCTCGCACCGTAGGCAACAACAGAGGGAGGCATAGGTAGGAGTTTGAGAGGAGGCTCAGAAGGAGGGCGGACACACGGGAGGGGGCCGGCAGACAGAGACCAGGGTGGCGACGAAGGAGGGAGGAGCCAGGAGGGGCCCAGAGCAGGAGGAGCACAGCAGGCCTCAGGCCACAGCCATGATGACGGCCCACGGTGGAGCCGACGGAGGGAGGAGCCATGGAGGAGGAATGGCCGCCGACTCAAGGGGGCCTACCAATGGCGGCGGAGCAGGTGGAGGAGGAGCCCGAGGCGGAGATGGAGAGCCAATGAGCCAGGGGGATGCCGAGGATCCGGTGGGCCAGGGTGGAGCCGAGGGCCAAGGCGGAGGCGGAGATCCGGGCCTCGGAGGCTGGAGGCAGAGGTGAGGGATTCTCCAGCCATGGCAACGCTGGAGGATGGCAGACCCGCGGAGCTCACAACGTATTGATGGTGGGCTGAGGGCGAGCAGAGGGACTGCTTGACGACAGCGGTGGAGGAGGCAGGAGCGGGCGGGTGGGCAGGCATTCGTGAGCCTCCGGGCTCTCAGGGCTCTCAGGGCTGCCCTCAGGGATCAGAGCCCACTCCTGGCTGGACTGGGAAACGGGAGCCCCCTCAGGGCTGGATGGGACCAGCGGGGACGGAGGAGAGAGGAGAGGGGGCAAATCGCTTCCAGCTCAGTTTCCCAGTCAATAAGGTCCCCTTCTAAGTCCAGCAGGCCCAGATGTATTATTACCTCACCCTCAGCCGCGGTGCAGTGGGTGGAGCTCCACTCCGCGTTCTCACCATCCACGGCTTTCTCCCTCGCGATGGGCATTGTAGCCGGCTCACGCACCTGGTCTGACGGCTTGGGCTCTACTTCCGGGACTCGCCAGAATCCACTCCACAAACGCGGCGAAATCCGCTCGAAGACCATCTTCTGACGACGGCGCTCTGCACGCGGTGT